CTCTGGTTAATGCGCTGGGCGGGAATTTGATTTTCAGAATTTGACTTTATAGTCTTCATGAAAGTTGTAGCCTTTGATGTTAGCTTTCCAATGGCGCTGGAATCACCAAAAAAGGAGTTTTATAACTCTAGATGTGGCTGTTTTAGTGAAGAGGGGTCGAGCTGCTAACTTTGTTTATAGCTGTGCGGTTTTTATCATTTTTTTTCATGGTAGATGAAGGAATTAGGACTTGGTGTCTTCAGGAGAGTTGTAAGAAATCTTCTTATCTTTCATATGAGATAATGATGAGTGTGGTAGGAGTAGTATAACTCCTGATGCGCTATTTTCTGTGAAGGTTGCCATTTCACATCTTAGTGATTTGGTTAAGTTGAAAGTTGTTTTAGGTGCTTAGGTGGATTGATGTTGCTTGGGTGGGTAATTTGACAAGATGGATGAGTGTAAACAAGGTGGATGAGTCGTATTATGTGTAGAATATGCTGATATTGATGTGCTACGCTGAGCGCGGCCCTTGTCGCACTGGGCGTGAGACTCTTTGGGAGTCACTGCCTTGTGGGCGCTGGGCACAATTGGTATTGCGCCAAGCGCGAGTGAGCCTTGGGCTCTCTGGCTGGGTCCCGCCGAGCGCGGGTATGCTTGTGCTGGGCGCGCTGACCCCCTGGTGCTCTCTGGTTGTACCGCGCTGGGCGCAACCACGAGTGCGCCGGGTGCGAAGAAGAAATTTCTATATGCTTGTTAATGTTGTTTTATGATGAACTGAGTTGAAAATGATGGATGTGGTGTGATGATTAGGAGATAATGCTGTTGAAAATGTTGAGCTATAATTAGCTGTGTTGCAAGATGTTGAGACGTGTTGTATGTTGACAAGTTGTGTTATGTTGTATGTTGATGAGTTGAGTTGTGTTGCATGTTGATGAGTTGAGTTGTGTTGTATGTTGATAAGTTGATGTTGAGTTGTAAAGTTGTGTTGTGTTGCAAGTTGATGTTGAGTTGTACAGTTGTGTTGAGTTGCAAGTTGATATGTTGAGTTGAAAAAGTTGAGTTGTGTTGAATATTGATATGAATTGTTGTAGGCCATAATGGCTGAGTTGTTGTAGGCCATAATGGCTAAGTTGCTGTAGGCCGAAATGGCTGAGTTACTGTAGGCCGAAATGGCTGAGTTGTTGTAGGCTGTAAGGCTGAGGTGTTGATCACTAAGACTAGAGGAGATGTTTTCGAAACTTCCCCATCCCATTGTGTGGATTGAGCGGCTGTGGTGCTCTTGGAGCCCAATTTGTTGAAAAACCCTCCCTGAAAAGCTAACCCTTGGAGTGGTAACTTGTTGTTCTCCTCTAGATTCTTAGTGGTCCCGTGTGTGGGCAAGGTCGAGGCACACGTGTATAAAGCGACCACGGTATAGGGGCCAGGTCGAGCTATACCGATTACAAGCAACCAATACTAACTTATATGCGTGACGACGCATTGTGTGTTATTGTTGTTTACTGCTGAGATTGCTGAATGATGTGAGATGTGTGCTGTGATATATTATAGGCTGATGTTGTTAAGTTGGTTGATGTGCTGATAGCTGTAGCTGTTTATCATTCATATTTTATATATGTATGGATTTCTTTTCACTAGCTTACCCTTTGTTGTTTCCATGTGGTTTGGATTGCGATGATCATACTATGTATGGGAGCAGAGCAGGGATAGGTTGGTGGCTAGTGGTGAGTCTGCAGCTGGTAGGCAGAGCTGATCCTTGTTGATGTTTTGTTGTTTCAGCTACTTGGTGTAGTAGCTTTGGATGTATTTTTGTACATTTTGAATCTAGTCAGACTTGGACCATGTATATATGTATATTCTAGACACTATATGTATACACTTGTTCCTTTCTGTCCGGTTTTCAGGTGTACTGTGTAGTGTGTAGTGACCAGCCAGGTCGTTACATGGGTCAATCTTACTACCCAACATATATCTCACGTTTAAAGTGAAACTACTCATTCTCCCTTACCTTGATGAATGAGTGCAAATTTGTAGGGTGATCTTTAGCGATTTCTGGTTCCCCTTATAAAACTCCCTAATTCATGTTTAACCCATTAGTTAATCAAATAAACTATGGTTATACTTCCTTTTCCTCAAATATTAAAATAAAACATAATTAATATATAAAATAAACATATTTTTTCAACACAATTACAATTAAGCTAAAATACACTATAAAATTATAATAAAAACATATTTTTCTCTAAATACTTATTGTAACAAAATATCATAAAAACACATATTTTTTAATAAATATTATACAAAATAATTTCATAAACTTTTATTATTTAAAATAATTAATAAAAGTCTCGAAATGTTTGCTACAACTCATTTAATTAATTAAAATATTTTTTAAATAATTTTGAAAAACTTAGAATATTAGAGCAAATAGATGATGACTTGATTGAAATGAATATCTTGTAACTCATGTTAACCCAATTCAAATCGGTTATACATGGATTTAATTGATATTTTATGCATTGTTGGTGAATTTCAATTGACAATTTTCTTTCCAAGATTAAAAGCATAAATTGGTTATTAGTGAATTTGTCCTTGCAAAGACTTGAAGCTAAATGTTCATAATGCTTTTTGATGGTTATCCATGTCGGTGGAAGATTTTTTTTGTATATGTGGTCATTTTATAATTTGCAACCTGGACGCTATGTACATATACTATGAGATATAAATGTTTTTAAAGTAGAATTAAATCAGATGTACTTTATCTACTTTGTATCCCATAAAGTAATAAATTTAGATTTTATAAATTTATATCTCGTAGAGTAGATATAAATTTAGAGATGTTATATTTTATCTCCTTTAATTTATAAGCTTATTTTTAAGATAATTTAAAATAATAATTAGTTATATATTTTAAGATATTTTAAAAGGTTAATTTATTTATGAAATTATTATAAATTTAAATTTAGATTTAAAATAATTATTTTATTAATTAAGAATTTTAAAACTGAATTAATATCGATTTTAATTAAATTATTATATTAATTAAGGATTTTAAAAGGTTAATTTATTCATGAAATTATTGCACACCTTAGAAACTTAGATCATTTCGTGTATTTTAGCATCCAAAAACAACAATCTAAAAGATTTATAATTGTTTATGAAAATTCTTGATGAATGTGAGAGTTGAACATGAGGCTACAAAGGAGAATGCATCATGTGCGTGCTATTGTGGTTGTCACATGTGGAGGAGAACAAGTTGTCAATTGGATAAACCATTAATTGTGATTTGTTTGCATCTTGAAAGGTCATATATTGTTGATGGTTTAAAAAGTTTAATTGTGCATTAAATAAAGTCTTTGAGCAGAATTATATATTTATTTGAAGGCCTATGTGAAGAGGTATAAAGAATAACCGTGAGACATCATTTAGAGAAAAATGACGTATGCAATTGATATTATTTTTCAAAATCTATGAGAAAAATTATAATTTTTATGAGATGAGACTCTTCTTAGTATGAATGATTTTATGTGATGATGAGCATTTTTTCTCTAATTTTAAAAATATTAATTATATATGTTGATACTCTTATAAGCTATTGTATGAGAATGTTAATTGTTAACAACTTTGCAAGATATCATGATATACTAGAGAGATGCCATAAATTATGGTATTTAAGATTGTGGATTTTTCATTATATTAAAAAATATAATAATGATTAATTGAGTCTTGGATCCATATGAATCAAAATCTACTAATTTTGTGTTATTTTGTTGTAGTAAAACTAATTTGAGATCAATCAAGTCTAATTTAAATCTAATGTATTTCTAGACTCATGATTAGATATGAGAATATGTCAGACTTTAAACAGGAACTTATGATTTGATAAAATTTGACCTATTTAATAAAAAAGATTAATTTAAAAAGGTTGAACTTAGGTTTATAAAAAAAATTTACTAGAGTTGATAAGTTAGTCAATTTAATAATATAATTAAATAAATAAATTTAAATAAAAAACAAAATTTTAATATTTTTGACATTTTTATTAACTTAATCAAATGTATTTCTTGTTCATATGAAATCAAGAAATAAAAAACTTATGTAATCACATATGTACATGTTCTTTTTCTTCGTCTTCATGATTGTTTATTTAGAATACTCCAAATGGTATATAGAAAATGTTTGGAAATTTTTTTTTTATAAGATTGTTTTCTTTTATTGCACTGAGTGTATGTGAGTGTGTTTGATGAGTTGTTCCTCTTAATTTTTTTTAACTTTTATTTTAAACTCTAAATTTTGATAATAATAGTGTAATTATTTTTTTATCAAGAAAATTAAAAAAATAATCACAAATATTTAGATTTTTTGACTTATTTTAAAAAAAATTATTGATCAATTTAATATTATTAATATAAAATAGACTTTTAAATAAATTAATAAATTATAAATCAGACTTTTAAAAATGTTATACCAGACTTGAAAATAAAATCTGATAATAAATCATACTTAAGATTTTAATTTATAAAAACGTCTAATTCGTATATTCAAAGTCGAACATGATTTATTCACATTCCTATTCATAATCAAATGAAATTTACTGCGTTAATAATTTGGGTTAAGTTAATTTGTAAAAAATGTTATTTGAATTTCTCATATATGAAATACGTTCACGTTATTGTGTTAATAATTTAGGTTAAATTAATTTGTAAAAAATGTTATTTGAATTTGTGTTAATAATTTGGGTTAAGTTAATTCATGAGAAATGTTATTTGAATTTTTCATATATGAAATACGTTCACATGTCTTGGACAAGGAACTACTTTCACGTGTCGTGTTTTTTTTTGTTTTGGTTATATTAACTATTTTGTTATGCGTGTGATGTGATACATCGCTGAAGTCAGCTGTTAATATTTTTGGTCTTAAACACAAGTTATTTCGTAGAAATTACGGGAATGGGAATTTAAGAAATTAAATTGATGGCACCACTATATATCACACATTTGGACATGTTTCAAGAACCCTTAATCTTTGTATGGGGAGTGAGATGCAAATTGAATGTTTGAACAAACCCAATTTATATGCAAGAACAAATAGTTGGGCACGAGGTAGTGAATTTAATTTTCTGGTTATTGTATTATATAAAAAGGGTATCGATTCTTTGTGAAGAAGACCAACCTAACAAGTGAAGATAGAGAAACATCCATGGGTTTGATATTGAAGCAATTTATATGGCCAATTCTGGTTGGTTGCATCACTTGCATGTTCCTTCATGGTTTATCTTATTCAGATAACGGTAATGCTAGGACGTTTCATTTTCAAAATCTTTATTATATATGTTTTCATATCGAGAATAGAAGAACAATTAATGAGTTTCTTTTGTTTAGTTGATTGATACATATGAGGAGTGTGGATGCAGGTGAAAAGTACACATTTGTAAGAGAAGCGACTTCTGCTCCAGCAACCTTATATTATGACTACATAGTGATTGGTGGGGGAACAAGTGGGTGTCCACTGGCAGCAACACTCTCACAAGGTGCAAGAGTTTTGGTCCTTGAAAGGGGAGGGTCTCCTTACACGAACCCTGAGAAAATTGACATAAGCAACTTTGTGAACGCCCTCGCTGACATAAGCCCCACATCGTTTTCCCAACAATTCATATCGAGAGATGGGGTGCTCAACGCCAGGGCTCGAGTCCTGGGTGGTGGGTCTGTCCTGAATGCAGGGTTCTATTCGAGGGCGAGCTCCATTTACATAAGGGAATCTGGTTGGAATGAAAGTTTGGCTGAGGAATCATATGAGTGGGTTGAAAAGAAGGTGGCGTTTGAGCCTCAAATGCTGCAGTGGCAATCGGCAGTGAGGGATGGGTTGCTTGAAGCTGGCGTGTCGCCTTACAATGGTTTTACTTATGATCACTTATATGGGACTAAGATTGGAGGGACAATTTTTGATAAGGAGGGTAACAGACACACTGCTGCTGATTTGTTGGAGTATGCTGATCCCAGGAGGATTTCTGTTTATCTGCATGCCACAGTGCACAAGATACTGTTCAAGTACAACACAGGTAAGGATTCAAATATGATATGAATTTTAGAGAGCTAGCTAAGAAGGTTGATGGTAATGTTTTTGATTATTTATAGAAAAAAGAAGGCCACAGGCTTATGGAGTAATTTTCAAGGATGCATTGGGAGTGATGCATGGAGCGTACTTAAGCGCAAATGGAAAGAATGAGATAATCTTATCAGCGGGTGCAATTGGAAGTCCACAGTTGCTGATGGTGAGTGGGATTGGGCCTGGCAACCATCTTGAAGCCCATGGGATCAAAGTGGTTTTGGATCAGCCCTTGGTGGGTCAAGGGATGGCAGATAATCCAATGAACATTCTACTGGTTCCTTCCCCTCTGCCAGTTGAAGTCTCTCTTGTCCAAACAGTGGGCATCACCAAGTCTGGCAACTTCATTGAAGCAGGAAGTGGATTAAGCGTGGGCCATTCTTGGTCTGAACGCCTACAAGGGATTTTTGAATTTGTGTCCAACCAGGTCAGTGCTCACTGCTCACTATCCCATTCCCTCTAATCTGATTGTATATATAAAAGTAAAAGTGGCAACTGAAATTTTGTTTTGATTTCAAGTCTGTGCAGCCTTCCACGGTTTCCCCGAAAGCCAAGGAGAGTGTTGCAGACGCCATAAGATATTTAGCGAATCCAACTCTGAAAGGAGGAATCATAGTTGAAAAGATCCTAGGACCACGATCTTCGGGTCATTTGGAGCTCATAACCACTAATCCGAACGACAACCCATCGGTGACCTTCAACTACTTTCAGGATCCAGAAGACTTAAGAAGGTGTGTTGAGGGCATGAAAACCGTCATAGATGTGATCAACTCAAAAGCATTCTCCAAGTTCCGCTACCGCAACATGCCGGTTCAAGTTCTCATAGACTTGATGTTGCACTTACCACTCAACTTGCGCCCAAAACATTTGGACGCTGCCTTTTCTTTACAACAGTATTGCATAGACACTGTGCTAACCATTTGGCATTACCACGGTGGGTGTCAATTGGGTAAGGTTGTTGATCATAATTATAAGGTTATTGGTGTCGAAGCTCTCAGGGTTATTGATGGATCCACTTTTCTTGCCTCACCCGGGACTAATCCTCAGGCTACTGTAATGATGCTTGGAAGGTACTTATACAATCATTAATTGTCATTTAATAATTATATATATATATATGTTTATTGTCTTAATCTTTCGTTAATTTTTTGGCTACAGGTATATGGGAGAAAAAATACTAAATAAAAGATTCTTCCGTGGGAGGGAGTGAAGGGATCAATTGAGTGCATAGGGTGCGTGTTGTTCCATATTTGTCTTCTGAAGGCTGTCTGTTCATAGGAGCCAACAGAAAAATATGCATCCTTTTCTTTTGTACGATGACAACTGTGGATGTTATTTTTGGGTATTTTATAATTATGCATTTTATGGTGCTATTTTTTTATAAATAAAATACATTTATCCTGTAATTCCCACAATATAATTGCAGTTTGAAATAATACAATTTTTCCAGATAATTTGGTTATACTTTTTTAGAGTTGACAATATTATTCACAGTTCACAGATTGAATATAAGATAATATAATGAAAGTCGAATAAAATCTAACAAACAATATACATATATATATATATATATTCACTAACTTATAATTGAATAGATTCATATAAGAAATTATTACAACTTTTAATAATAGAGAGATCAGATTAAATAATTTGAGGGATAAAATGAGTAATTTAACCTATGTTAAATCAAACTTATTATAAAAAATAAAATAATTAGAATAATTGAGAAGCTACGAAATTGGAAAGCAACAATAGGAAGTGGTCATATATTGATGGCTCTACTTTAATAAGATTTTTAGATCTTATATAGTTCAAGTTTTACAAAGAAAAAAAATGTTTAGAAAGTTTTGTCTCTTTAAATTGATTCACCCATTCCATTTGTGTTACCCAAGTTAAATGTGATTTTCAAACACTGGGAGTGTGAAACCAAAATTTAAACTAATTCACAGTGGACAACTTGGAAATTGAAGTCAGAATAGCAAGACTGCACTATATATTTTATATTTTTTAAGTAACAGAATAAGACACGAACATATGCTCTGCAACATAATAAAATGGAAGAAGCATAAACTTTTCCCAATTTCTCTCAAAAGCAAGAATCTGTTTCTCTGAAGTAGCACTTTCAGGACTTGGATATGAAGGTAAATCATATAGTCATGGAGTGAACCACAGAATATTCACAGCATAAGCCTGAAGCATATGCTATTGGTTACTAGTTTATTCCATGTCCTGTGCTTAAGTTGAAGTGCTTATAAATTGTAAAGCTTACGGAAAGTTGTGTGCAACAGCAGGAGCAGGAGTTAGTGAATAAGCAAAACAGCTATAGGGCTTCTCTTTCTTGGCAGGAAATTATCATGACATGTCTTGCCAAAGGAGAGTTGCCCTGTTGCTGCTTTAGCTTAATTTGTAAATCTTCTTTCTTATTCTATGTTGTTGTGTTGATTTAAGAGAAGCACTGGGCAAGAAAATGTTAGAAATAAAGTCTAATTTAATAATTTATAAAATTATTTGATAAGATGATAATTATTTTTCTTATATATATTATTTAGTCTTGTTTATAGACGATGTTAGAGAAGCACATGGAATGAAACTGGCTAGTGATATTAATATGTCCATCTTCTTCTTTCTTTCTTTTTTCTTTTAATTTCATGAGATTTTTAAAAGAGGCAAAAATGTGATTTTATGACAATCCTCCAATGACTTCGGTGTACACAAGGTTTTATGCTACTCAAATAAATTTGAAACCAGCTTAAAAACCTTGTCAAACATGCACACCCAATATAATTTAAATAGCAGTCAAATTTAAAGTAGTGAAACTATTGATGATGGGAGAAGAAATTGATTTTAGGATTTAGGGTTTAGAATTTTAGAATTTTCAGCTCATCAAACAGAAATGAATAAAAAAAGATCAGTTGTTGTTATCACTCACACCACACATTAGGAGAGAAGTCGAACTGCGAGGCTGTCAGAGTACTGAAACATAATTTGATTGTAAATCTAAAATATAATTTATATATTTAAAATATTAATTTTTATAATTTTGATTATAATATTTTTTTATAAAAGAAATATATGTTCTTTAATTATATAATATAATTTTATATTTAAATATGCTTATTTATTATAAATTTTATTATATAAAAACTAATATTTATTATGCAGTATACAGGTTAAAATACTAGTACACTTGCCCTTTATTTGGTAGCTTAGAGATATAATAATAATAATAATAATAATAATAATAATAATAATAATAATAATAATAATAAGAGGAGTTGGAGAGGAGTGAAAATGCAATTAAATTTGATTGTTTGGTAGGTTTAAATGAGAGGTGAGAAATAAATATGCAGTGTTGTCGCTCTCTAGCAGTTTTAAAACACCATAAATGAGATTTCCTTTTATAAATACCAATATTTATTATAAATAAGATATTAGAATGAGTAATTTCTTTTTAGTGAATTATTATATTTTTAAGTATTAAAGAAAATCTCATATTTTTTTAATAACCACTAACAATAATCTATTTCATTATATTTCTTTTTACCCTAATTTTTAAAAACTTAAGAAGTACTACATACTACTTTTTTCTACTGGATATATTAATAAAAGAGATTATTCTATTTTAATGTCCATATTTCTGGATAATTTTATCTTTATAATTAAATTTTTATAAAAACTAATAATTTTTTTTAAGTTTTACTCTATAATTATCTATATTTTTAATAATTGTCCACTATTATATAATTATTATTATTTGTTATTTTTAAAACTAATTCACGAACACACGACTGCCTTCTCTATTCTGGTATTTTTAATGTTTCTGACGGTTTACAAGTCTCTAAAAGAGATTTTTTTTTTTTATATAGATTCACCATTAAAAAAAAAGTTGATATTTTTATTTTTACATTTTCTTAACAAATACAGACGGTTTGAACACTGCAATTGCTAAAATCGATTAAAAAATTATATTAGATTAATAACCGTTGTAGTGTGTATTAAAGATTATTTATGTGACAATAATTTTACAAATATTAATAATTAGTTGTTATATTAATGAGAGTTCACATCATCTTTATCACTCTAATTAACACAACACAATATCCCTCTCCTCACACCACTCAATTACCTTAGCACTCCTACTTTATATTTAATTAAACACACTACTAAAGAACTCTTAGGAATTTAGGAGGTATAAAAATATAATAATTGATAGCAATATTTAAATTAAAATTAATTATCATTTTATAAATTTAACAAAAATTTAGCAACATCATTAAAATGTAACAAAAATATCACATTAATAACATTTAAAAAATATTCTCTAATTGTATAAAAATATTATTAAAAATCTTTAATAGCATGGATTATATACAACATTTAAAAATGTCGCAAAACTAAATTAATAACATTTATGCATAATTAAGAAACATTTTTTAAATGTTGCTATAAGTTCTTTGTGTTATAATTTCTTTGTGTTATAATGTTTATTGTCTTTTCGTTTTACTTTGAACGAATTAAAATGATATATAGAAGTACTAAATCATATAAACTTTAATAAATAAATTAACTTCAGTAATATAAATAAACGTTCATATATCATCCTTATAAGGAAACTTATACCTATGATCACGTACCAATCAATAAATTATAGCCTTACAGATCGTTATATAACAAATTTGTTACGATTAATATATATATATAT